GTTCTTCTTCTCCCTGTATAATGAACGGATTTTGATTATCTAAATTCAGCATAGAGAGAAATATGCCACCACTATCTGGAAGTAAACGCAATTCACAATCATTAGCGACGTAAATTTTTACAGTGCTATCGTCTTTGTTAAAAGAAAAATTAATAAAATGATCCTTTTTCAAAACTTTCAAATTATTCATAATATTTTCGAATATATGACTCGAGTTGTTCCCTTGCATAGGTTGTAACGGAATTAGAGTAGATAAATCTTCGGCTTTTATTTTAATCAATTTCATTTCCTTAGTAGTAATGACATATTTGTTATTTTCACTAGTGATATTAACCCTCTGTAAGTCGCTAGGAATGGGGCCCTTACTTGAGTCGCATGGGTCTTACAGACCCAGTGTTTTTAATATGAAATAATTCAATTTTATCTATCACGTAAAGAAACTACAGTTTCTTAGTTGGATTCTGCGCTTTGTTTTCTATCTAGTGATATAAATTACTTGCGTATTGACAAAATGAATTTATTAATATTTATTTTTATGTAATTCGATACGAAAAACGCAAAAAAATAAACATATCAAATTTCAACTCGCTGTAATTTATCTCCTGTTTCACCGATTGCCATCGGGTTTGTTTGTAAGTGGGGAAGAAATATGACACTTTCAAGCGAAGTGAGTAGAACTTTTGCACTACTGCGAGAAAATTTGTCAACCGACCCCGCGTTACCCCCTACCGCGAAAGTCAATAAACGTTAATTGTTTTATGACTCTATTTTCAACACTTCTTTTCTGAGTTGTAAATCGACTAATTGACAAAGATTTTACTTCATTTTACTCATAAGAATGTTGTCTTTATGATTTAATAGATAGTTTCGTATGATTTTTAGACATAAATTTTATTTTTAATTTTTTATCTGATATAGTCGTGTGTTAGGCTTAACTCGATCACCTATTTTCAAAAATTGACATCGTTCAAAATATTATAGAATCCATCAAAATTATTTGCTTATAGTTTAGTTATAAATGTTTTCTGTGCATGAAAAGAAGCGATCGAAAAAATAATGGGTGGACCATCAAAAATTCGGCAATTTACGACATGCTCTCGATTCTGAAATTTGTTTTCTTCATAATATAAAATTTTTACAAAATAATACTTAAAAAATACATCCATGTCAATACCTGAATGTTATAAAAATGCAATTATCAAAAATTTTGTAATTTTCACAATTTGTATTGTCATAATTTATTTTTGTTTTTTTCTGTCGCGCGTTGCGTATTGCGCGACAACAAAGTCGTAACGCGATTAAACGCAGCGATTTCATTTATAATTACTTAAAATGTAGTTTACGTTCTTGTTTTAGTTTTGTTTTGTTGTTTAGCGATGGAAAATAAATAGATAATAATTGCAGATAACAATTTAAAGTATTTTTATCAGATTAATTTAGATTATTTGATTTTACAATAATGATAGCTATGCGATATGATTGTCGCATAGTTGTAATTTTTCACTTTATATCTAATTAGCTCTCATAATGTTTAGGGGCTAATTAGCTAACATATACTGCTTTTATTTCGTTTGATCGAGTAAGCATCTTCTCAGAATTGTCTTGTGGGAAATTGACTGCGATAAGAATTAGCCTTTCACTTAAATCAATGTCAGAATGTAAATAAAAGTTAGTTAATCGCCATTTTCATCGTTTTCAGCTCTAATTTCGCTACTTTTCATTTTAATTGACGTTATTTAAACAAATGTTTGTTTTGTCAGGAACATTCAGGAGTAAAATTACCAGAATTACGGCTCTAAAATGAAGAAGATAGCTATTTGTAAGGTTTGCTTACATTCTGACTTTAATCACGTTGATTGGTTCTTCGCGGGAAAATCCAGACCAGATGGTTCTGAAGAAACCTCTCATTCGTTGAACTTAAATCAGTCATAATATAAATTACCAATTACAGTGTAATAGGCGTAGAAACAAAAATTTTAAAGCCAATTAACAGCAATAACATCTTCCATAGACTTACTATAGAGAGTTGGAGTTTCCCGGGAATATTTATTGCTAGACAGTTTTGAGAACATGCTTACTCGTATATACATTGTGAAACAATATTTAATTAACAATTTATAGCTCAAAACGCGAATAAAACAAGCGAATTTACAGCGATTGTTTACATTTGATTTCCAAGATCATTGCCGAAAGGGGGGAGATATTTCCCGGCAATTTATAGCTAGACTGTTTTCACAAGTTTCCCATTGGTTAGTAAATGTAAAAAAATGCCAACTTGCATCGTCTAATATACGAAGAATCATCATAAGTAATATATAAAAATTATATGATAAAAATAGAATAATAATTAAAATGATTAAAAGTTAATTAGACATTAATTTTGAAAACAATATTATAACAAAAAAAAAAAAAAAATAAATATATAAATAAATAACGATATTATAAAGTATAATAGACACCGCGCGACAACTTCAGCGCGATAAAGTTATTGCGACACTCGCTATCGGCAACGGCGACAAATTAATTGACGTTTTTTTACCCCCTCCGTGAGTCGCATGGGTCTGTCATACCCATGCGACTCGTAAAGCATTTTTTTTCTAAAAAATGAGCGTTGCTATGCAAAAAATTTTAACAGCATGTTAATCTAATTAAAAAGTTTGAGGAATATTAATTTTTTCAAATTTTTCAAAAAATATTTAATAGTAAAAAATTTTGACTGAAAATCGCGTCGGGTCTGTCAGACCCATGCGACTAACAGAAGGTTAAACCACGAATGTGGTATTATTATTTGGGATAAAGCCACTTCCCAAGATCCTGTTAAATTTACCGGTGGATTAATTTTTGATGTGAAGGAGGATTGAGTATTTTTTGAAAAAAAATCCATACTCGCAGTGCTTATTAGAGTCACATAAAAATTATCCATTTTTTACTTTCTGCAATTCTTCGTTATAAAATCATCATTTAATCGACTGGTTGTTATAATCTTTCAGGACATAAGTAGGTGGATTGGTAGGATGTTGTTCTTTTATAATGAAAATTTCCTTACTCCATCTGGGTAAATAACCTCTCGTAACAGTTTTTCGTTTTTTAGAAACTCTAACTCTATCGTCAATTTTAAATTTATATTTTATTTTAGCTTTCGTTTTACCATAAAGTCAATTAAAAATTTGCGAATGATGTTTAAGTTTAACCTTGGCCAGAGACATTCCTATACTTCGATGCGTGCTATTATTATATGCTCGTACCAAATAGTTTAATTTATCAATATATTTATTTGAATTTCGATAAGTAATAAGACGATAAATTTTATTTTTTAAGGTCTTATTAAATCGTTCCACTATCGATGCTTTTGTTTCGGAATGAGTATAATAATGATTTATTTGATGTTTTTTAAATAAATCCTTAATAACAGAATTCATGAATTCCTTTCCTTTATTGGTATGGAGAAACCTAGGAATTATTTTTCTAAATATTTTTTGAAACGCTTTTTTTATCGTTTCCGGTTTTTTGTCTTTAACTGGAATTACATACGCATATTTAGAAAATGCATCGATAGTTGATAATAAATATTTTATTCCATTATTGACTTTTGAAAATTGACGAACATCCATCAGATCTGATTGAAATAATTCTCCTTGATATAGAGCTTTAGTTTTACGATGCGTATAATTTATTCGTACTAGTTTATGTAGAGTATATGTATCTTGAGTCGATAGCCATTTTTCGACAGTTTTTCTCGGCAACTTTGTTGCTTTTACTAGACTTGTTACGCCGCCAAACGATGTGGGATGAGATGGGTGTAATAAATAGATCTCAATAATCTTTCCATGAAATATGCTTTCTGTTAGACGACGCAACTTGTTTAGGAATTTTTGTAGCAGATGCTCCGCCAGTTTTTTTCCTAACACTAATCGATCGAATCGGAGGCAATGGAATCTATGGCGATCGAAAACGAAGTACGGGGGATTCTCCTATTTTTAATCGAGTCGACAATGCTTTATTTCCAATCCATTCTTTGGGTATATTCGCTTTGATAATTCCATTCCAAAAGGAGTCAAAACCCGGGGGTACAATGCTCGATTTTCTCGTTCGCATAAGATAGGACATTAAATCTACTATGTGACTGTTTATTATTGGTTCGTTATTCACCACTAATTCTCCTTTTTCGTTCCAATCGTATTGGTAAGATTTTAGTAATTGAATGATATGCGGAACATAC